TGTTTGCTATGGGGTCGAAGCAGGCTCCAGGGTCGGATGGATTCATTGGCAAATTTTTTAAAGCCTTCTGGGATATTGTGGGAGAGTCGGTTATTGAGGCAGTGTGGTCCTTCTTTGCTACGAGTCGAATGCTCCGTAGCTTCAATCATACTTGGCTCACTCTGATTCCCAAGGTCGATAATGTGGAATCTATGTGGCAACTGCGGCCAATCAGCTTATGCCAGTTTGTTTACAAAGTCATTACTAAGATTATGGCGGAGCGGCTTGCCTCCGTGTTGCCAAAGATCATCTCAGAGGGTCAAAACGCGTTCATTCGTGAACGTCAAATTGTTGAGAATATTCTTTTGGGACATGAGTTAATGCATTATCTAAAAATAAAATCGCGTGGTAAGAAAGGGTTCATGGCTCTAAAGGTTGACATGGAAAAGGCCTATGATAGGGTCGAATGGCCGTTTCTCCTTGCGATTTTGGATAAGATGGGCTTTAATTATATCTGGCAAGGGTGGGTTCACGAGTGCCTACGATCCTCATCTTTCTCTGTTCTTATGAATGGGACTCCTTCAGGGTATTTCACTCCTTCTAGAGGGTTGCGGCAAGGGGACCCCCTCTCCCCTCTCTTGTTCGTGATTTACACTGAGGGGTTTGCGGCGCTCCTTCATAAGGCGATTGCGGACAAACGTCTGGAGGGGGTCAAAGTGGCGCACCGGGCACCTCGTATCTCGCATCTATTTTTTGCAGACGATTCATATTTGTTTCTGCGAGGTACTCTCCATGAGTGTGAAAACTTGATTGAGGTCCTCAACGAGTATGAGGAGTTGAGTGGCCAACGGGTGAATTTGGATAAATCAGCTGTTTGTTTCAGTAAGAATGTTCTTAGGGAGGACCAAGAGTTCTTGGCCTCGGTGTTGGGAGTTGGCGCTGTAGGGGTTCATGATAAATATCTTGGTCTGCCGACTCTTATTGCTCGGTCGAAGATGGCCACCTTCCGGTATTTGGAGGAGAAGTTGCTTGAACGCCTCCAGGGTTGGAAACAGAGGACATTGTCTTGGGCTGCTAAGGAGACCTTGATTAAATCGGTTGCTCTGGCTTTGCCGTTGCATGTGATGTCTTGTTTCAACCTTCCTCTTTCGTTATGTAGGCTCTTGGATAGGCATGTGGCCCGATTTTGGTGGGGGGAGACTGAGGATCATTTCCGGATCCGGTGGGTATCTTTGCGGAATTTGTGCCATAGCAAACATGAGGGGGGGGGGGGGTTGGGGTTTCGGCGATTTGAACAATTCAATCAGGCTCTTCTGGCAAAGATTGGTTGGCGAATCCTCTTGGAACCTCAGTCCCTTTTAGCGCAGGTTTACAAAGGCAAGTACTTCCCCACTGGGTCTTTTCTTGATGCCTCGGCTAGGTCCCGCCCATCGTGGGGATGGCAAAGCATCCTGTTTGGTAGGGAGTTGCTCATTAAGGGTCTACGGTGGCAAATTGGGAATGGCCAGGCGGCGTCTTTACTAAACTCTAGTTGGATCCCGTTGCTCCAGATGGATCCCCCTTGTTATAATCCTCGGGTCCTGCCAGAAGGGGGGGACCCACCCATTGCGGAGGTAATGTGCCCAGGAGAGGGGTGTTGGGATGACCATAAGCTAGGTCAATGGTTTGATCCACCCACATGTAGGGCCATTAAAGCTATCCCCCTTACGAGGCATAATGTAGCGGATAAGCTAATCTGGCATGGTACGGCTGATGGAATCTTCACGGTCAAATCCGCTTATCATTTAGCCGTTGATGTTGACAGAAGGAGAGGGGGGTGGAGGTTAACGGTTGGTTGGATGGACAAGGAAGCTTGGATTCGTTTGTGGGATGCGAATATCCCTCCGAAACTTAAAGTGTTTGTCTGGCAAATCCTCAATCGGGTTTTGCCTACCACGGAGGCCCTTATTGAAAAACGGGTCCCAGTACACCCTAGATGCCCGGTTTGTTGGGCGAGTGCTGAAACTATGGAGCATTTGTTCCTGGATTGCCCTGTGGCTCGTGCACTTTGGGATTACTCTGGGCTGGGGTATCTAGGAGAGGGGCTCCTACGACATACCTTCCCTCTGTTTCTAAAGCGGCTCTTGGCTTTGCTACACCAACCTACTCTTATTATGGCTGTGGTGGCAGTCCTTTGGCGGTCGCGGAACTGGGTTGTGTTCGAAGGTAAGCAGTACGGGTTTCCAGCCTTGATGCGGCAGTTCCACAAGCAGTATGAGGAGTGGGTCCGGGTGCCTATGGATAGGAGCCCCAGGGTGGCTCTCCCTGCGGTGGTTCCTCCTGGTGTACGATCTCGTGGGCTTGCTGGGAAGGATAGTATGGTTTGTATGTGAGATGAGGCGGTTAGGCGGGGCTCGCATTCGGCTGGCGGGTTGGTTCTTCTGACCCCAACAAGAGATATTTGGCTGGTTAAGGGGATCCAATTGCCTTGCATGGATGACCCCTTAGCGGTGGAGTTGCTTGTCCTGCGGGAGGCTGTTGTCTGGTGCTTATCGCTTGGCCTCTTGGAAGTGCAGTTTGAAGGTGATGCCAAGGTGCTCATTGATAAAATCAATCAGGCGGATACCAGGGATAACCGAGTTGGTGCTGTTTTGGAGGAACTTTTGCAATATTTTAACAGTGATACTGGGGTTCGTGTTCGATTTGTGGGTCGGCGTAGTAATAGGGTAGCCCATATGGTGGCTCGTAAAGCCCTCTCTTTGCACCCGGCTATGAGTCGTTTCATTGATTTTCAGGCCTGGCTGAATTCCAGGGTGTAACTATCTATTTTCTTGATCAATATAAGATTATCTTTTGTAAAAAAAAAAAAAGAAGTCAATAATTAGTGTGCGACACAATTATGAAATATGATGACTAGTCAATAGTATAAACAAGAAAACTCATTTCCATTGGAAAGTAGAGAGCATGTAATCCGAGTGACCCGCAATTCACCCACAACCCACTTAATTAAGTGCAGATAATTTTTCTTGATCAACGATCCACCAACATGAATCACACACTACAGTTTGGATTATTTGCAGATGGATTAATAACTCACATGCTCGAGTCACTTTGTGAACTAACTAATTAGCTCACATAATTAGCTGAGATGGATCTAGTGATGGCAAACGGGTGATTATCTCAATACTCATTCTTGTCCCCACCAAGTGTGGATCGGGGCAAGTAATACTCTACAAGACGGGTTCAAATGGATCACGGCGGGTAATACTATGCGAGACGGGTTCAAATTGTCATTCTTAAGCTCTTTTAAGTACAAAATATAGCCTAGGTGGGTTGAGGGTTTGGTTTGGTTTGGGGTCGGGTTTGGGTTAATACGTATCACCATTGTTGGCTAATAACCAGGCTCCTGTGCGGCCAATCTGGGTTGGTTGAACACACCGATCTAAGATAACTTTGAGGGAAATAGACAAAATGGCTATAATGGTCCAAATTTCAATAACAAGTCGCGACCAAGATTTGGAGTCTTGAGACCTCAAAATTCAACAGTAGGCAAAGAATTAGCGAGAGCCCGATTCTAGCTCGAGATTTCATTATGAGGCCATTAACTCATCACAATGGCGACGTAGAAATAAAAGGAAGATAAAAAGCACTGACTGACTGACTAACAACTACATACAAGATATGCTTACCCTCAGACTAATCAACAATCCTAAACAAAACGAAATCAAACAGCAAGCTGCCGCAACCAAAATGCAGAATCGAACCAACAACTTTTGATTCCCCCAATTATGGAGCTAGACTTGCCTAGAAACCAAGCTGTTCATCAAGCCGAGAGGATTCTTCCTCCAGCTTGGCACATGAGCTTGACAAATGACAACCCTTTGCATTCATGATTACACTACGATATTGGAATAAATTCCAGTTACTCTGCTGGAGACTCGGAACTTTCCCTGACAAAGTAACTTACTACACTTCAAAAGTACTTTTACTAAGTGTCCAAACCTAAAGATCATCCTCGAGCAGACAACTTCCATCACCCCTTAATTCTATCCATCAAACCGCATTTATCTATCCAACCAACTAATCTAACTCTTCAAATCCCAATCTCTGCCCCTCCACCTCCTAGCAACATAACAGAGTGCACATATATGAAAGATCACAGTCCTAACCAGAGGTTAATATTGCTTCAAGTAGCAACACAAAATTCATGATTATGCTTGAAAATAACTTCAAAAATGGCCTTGCCTTTCTTAATAGCAGACCGGGCGAATGTATGGTGGTCTCGCCAAGAATTAACAGAACTACTACGGAGGGAACAGAACATAGAAAGGTCCATATACACCAACCACCATCAAGAAGTTGTCATGAAAATGACTTGTACTGTCATGGTTTCTACTTTCTAGGGACATTGGTAAGACAGACAATGACTCAGAGAGGGTGCTTATCTATGTGTATATCTGTTCTTCCCGTCCTAGAGCATTAAGGAAGTCAGTCTATCTATTCTAGAGCTAAAGGCAACAACAGAACACAAGATCAAGCAGTTACAATTGAATAGTAGTGCCTCAAGCCGAAACTCTGGAAATCGATACATGCATATCAATGTTGCTTTCAAATGAGCATGACTGGTATATTCACCATGGAGTAAAGAAGTGCATTCAACAATCCATCAAACGAACTGCAGCTTAATCGAATACTAATGCTTCACGGGCTGAAACTTGGAGAGGAAATCAAGGAACTCAGGCAGGAAAGGGAACAAATTCGATTGGAAAGAACCAAAGTTATTATTATATAGTATTGTCCTAAGCATAATGCTCAACCTTCCATCAAATTCAACAAAGCAGAATTTGAATGGTCCATGGGAAACCTTACAAACACGATTACTAAAAAGCGTCTACAAAACGATGGACGGGCCCGTGAAAGCACAAGTAGTCGATCATAGAAGGAAACACCGGGAAATCGCAGAAAGAAATAGATGAACCCACTTTGCTAGAATGCACTTATCTGGCTGTTCGCCGTCGACCACCACCGCCGCGCACATTCCATCACTCCTTGCTCTTGAGCCTCTCGACGCGCTGATTCAGCTGCTCGATCTTGACGACGAGATTGGTGACGGAGTAAAGCAGCCAATAGAAGATCAGCGCCGCGGCGATCAACAGGGCGTTCCTCTGGCTCTTCATGATTGATTTCTGGTGGCGGAGCTGCTCGCTCGGGCTGCACGAATCGCCGTCACAGCTCGGCCGGGTCTCGTACTTCCAGTAGATATCCATCAGCAGAAACAGGCAGAACGGGACCACCGACAAGAACGGCTTCAGGAGGTTGCGAGTCACGGCGATCAGTCCCTTCCGCAGTCCGTCGAGGCCCGGGATTGTTAGCAGGAGGACCATGATCGCCTCCGCGCCCGCTGCGTACCCAAGCACGACCCACTCGAGTGCCATCTCTGCGTAGCAGGGAAAACAAACAGGGAGAGAATTGGATTTCAGGCAGTTGATGGAAGAAGAACCCTAGATCTGGTTCCTTGCTTGGTTTCTTGTGCTTTCTTCGCTTTTCTTGCTGGTTAAGGGTGCTCGGCAATCATCTTTAGCAAAAGTTCAACAATACCCCTCCTTAAAAAAGTTTCGTAGTGATCCCTAGACTTTTACAGAATACTCCGAATTGCACTAACACTGTCTCATTATTCCAAATTAGGAATCAAACTTTTTTCTTATTGTCCCAAATTCGAAATATAAACAATTTTTTTTTATCACGGATCATAAAGCGATAAACAATTAAACATAACATAATGAATTCAGAGCTCTAAAATTGGGTACAATTTGCAAGCAATTAGACTATCAACCCTCAGGGGGACTCAAAATAATCCAAGTCAACAATTATTGAACCATTACTTCACCCATGGTCATCCCTTAATAATAGCATGGGGAATACCAAAATAAAAGACAGTTAATAATTTCTTTCTATCAACTAAAAGCTTAATCAAATAAGATTACTTAAAGTATATGAATTGAACACTTTTATTATGCTATATAGTATTGGTGCTTTATTGTACAACTTGAAGTTGTACCATAACGTTAAATATATAAGTTCAGGTTGTACTATAAAGGAATTTGTACAATTATGATATGACACAACTTCACAACTTGAAGTTGTACCATCACATAAATGTACAAGTTCAAGTTGTACCATAAAAGAAGTTGTACAAAAAGTATAGGTACAATCTGATGTTTGTACCATAACGTTAAAAATACAATTTCAAGTTGTACAATAAAGACAAAAATCTATAACACCAATACTATATAGCATTATAAAATTCCCCATGAATTATATTTACAATGCCAAAAATGAATAGTTCAATACGGGAATGACCCATCCAATAAAAACGGCCAAAACCAGCAAAAACCATCATTGAAATATGATTAAGAAGATCTTGGGAGCGAGCATGGACCAAACATGCCATGAAGGGACAATGCAATAAATTTACTGAATCTCTATTCGTCGCCCTAAAATTCAAATTTTATCGCCCTAAAATGTACCAAATTGACACTCTTACCCTCCGTCCTCCGATCCCTGCTAATTTTTGTCTTGCGGCCGCTGCTGTCACTGTCAAAATTTTCTATCGGAGCCGCCCACCTCAACCCGATCTCCGCCGGTGCTTTGCTTCTACTGTCGGAGTCGATCCCAAGCAGGAGAAGGAAGAAGAGTATATATGACTAAATTCCAAAAATGACAAAATAAAAGTAATCCTATTTCTCAAGTTCCCTTACACGAGCTTTGATGGTGATGATTCTTCTTCTCTAGTTTCAAATTTTTTTTTTTTTGCCTTGGTGCAGTTGTCATGGAAGCTGAAATCAGGCAACAGTTGGAATAATTCTCAATCAAAAGTAATTAAGAACTGTTGGAATAATTGAAAGCAAGGGAAAAAGGGTAAACGGATTGCGCAAGGAGGCCGCCTCTGTCCTACACTTCTAATGCTGAGAAATCTTCTCTCCGGCCCAATGCCCACCGCCGCTTCCCTACTATTACTGCCGGATTCTTATGTACCGAACAAAAGGAAGGACACGAATGAGGAAGAATGTTTAGGTTTAGTTATTTTTTTGTTTCTTTTTTCAGATGCCAGACGTGTTGAAACTCTGTCTCCGGCGAGCATGGGACGAATTCCTGACCTGTACCGATGATAAGAAAGAGAGAAGAGACTCGGTGGAAGGCAAGGAGGAGGTAGAAGAAGGCAAGGATATTTGAGTCATTTTAATAAAAGTTAGGGCGACGAATAGGATATTTTAGGGCGACAAATAGCAATGCCCTAAATTTAGGGGTAGTTTGGATGGATCAATCTAGAAATGAGTCAATTTGATCAATTGTCTCGTTTTATAAACGAGGCAATTAAAATGTGTCAATTCGAATTATCTACCTCCACCCCAGGTAATTGAAATTGACTCAAAACGGATCAATTCAAAATATCCCAGACAGATTGATCCATCCAAAATTTTTGGTGGCAAACGAGACAATTTGGTACAATTGTCTCAAAATGAGACAATTGTGTCAAATTGATCCGTTACAATTCCTCATCCAAACGAAGAAGTTTCTGTTCCGTTTTTTAGAATTGAGACATTTGAGTAATGTAAATCAAAGGACTAAACAGTAAGTATGTGAAGGTTCAAGGAGTGATATACTACTTTTGCTGCTTCTCTGGGATCCTCGCAAAAAGTTGGCACCACCGCCTGAAAACTATTTATTTTAAATATAAATAATAATAAAAAACTCGTTACACACGTCACACGTGTGAATTTCATAGAAAAGCTCGAAACTAACTTTGCCCAGTCCCGAAAGTCCAACTCCGGTCGCGTTTGACATTGCTTCTCCCGGCATCTTCTCCGGTCACCAGAATGGCCACTCACATTCTCGCTTTGATCCTCAAAAGCGACGCATCCGACAATAGCGAGTTCATCCTTGTCAGGCAAACTCCCCCTCCCAAATTCAACGATGAAGAATACGATTCTTTGTTGGATTCTGATCTGTGGGACTTGCCGTCGACCAAGCTCAACCGTCTGGAAGCTGTACTGGAGCATGGAGCAGTGATCGAAGGTCTCCAGTCGTTCTCTGAGACGATCGATTTCAGGAACTTTGACCTCGACGCTGCTATTGATAGAGTGAGCTATGAATTCTTCGCCAAACTTCTACGCATTCCTCTCGTTCCCATTTCTCTATCTGTTCAGTTATTCGATTAATTTCTCAGGTGCTGGGGCAAGTAGGTTTCAAGGTGAGCGATATTGGAGCGTGGAGGGTTTCGAAATTCGTAGTGGAACCTGAGTTTGGCCCTGGTTTGCCCGTTCGTACTATCTATATAGTTGGCGAGTTAACTCGGGGTGACTCGGACTTACCAGGTTTGTTTTGCAGCGTTTCAAGTGAATACTTTTTAGTCTCTGGTGTTGATTAATCAATTTTGTATTCCAAAGCAATATATCGTACTCGGAATTTAATTGATATGGACGCTCATGAACTGGGTTGTTTGCATTTTCTGTGTTTGCATTATAAATATGAACAATGAACCACATTCTGAACACTAGCATTATCTGTGTTGCAGATCTCTGCAAGTGGATGTCTGTAGAAAGCTGTCTGAGTTTACTTCATGATGTAAAACCGGATAATGTTCGTGTTGGGACCTTAGCCGCAGTGGGTCTTGTAAATGAATCATCACGGTTGTCAGGGAAGAAAGTTCACACCAACCTGCATTACCAGGTTTGTTTGATGACGATTTTAGCTTGAAGCATTTATGTTTTATGAATTTTTAGTTGGCTTGAGAATTAAGAAAATTAAAGCTCAGATGCTCTCTTGGTCTAGGGTGATGGTCAACTGTGTCAGTGCTTTGTTTTTTGTGTGGATCGTGGTGTCCTTTGAGCTGGACGAGATCTCCCGGAAGGATGTAAAATCCCACTATTACGTTCCTAGAATAGAAGTTCGACCATTTTGTTTCAGATGCTGCTTTTCATGCTTTTCTCTGAAACAATCAATGTTTGTAACTTGCAGGAGTACCCTCCAGGGGTAATTCTCGTTCCAATGAAAAGTAGGACAGCAAAACCTTTTCTTACAACAAACATGATTATATTTGCACCTGCAAATGTTTCTGGTGAATTCAAGGACACTAGGTCTGCTATATCTGGAGATGTTTTGATAGTGGATCCAGGGTGCCATACTAATGTTCATGAGGAGGTATGCACTGTTTCTTGGTTAACAGATCATGAAATAAATGCTTATGCAAAATTGTACCGCAAACATGTCAGACTATGTCAATTTGATAATGCTAGCAATCATCTGAGGACTCAGACACTGATTTAATTTTCTTGAGGCTTTCATTTTATCTATTTATATCCTTTATATGTCTTAGATACATTCATGCAACACAACTAGTGATCGGTTTTATCTGGTATGAACATTGAATTTTTTTTATCGAAGGGTAAGGTTAATGGATATATGCCTTGTAATTAATCTGTTGGCAGAAAACACAGTATGCTCTGCATGATTATCTGTTGTTGGAATGTTTTGGCGAGATATTAGATATGCTGTCAAAGTGAGCAACCTTTGAAGCTTTTTTTTTTATACTTTAAACCTCATATTAAGAGGTCTTTTGGTCTTCTCAGTTGGTTAACTGTGTCTCCGGAGTAAGTTCTATTATAAGAGTGCCCGAACAAAAGAGTAGAATTACCCTTTAGTTTGTTTTAGTTTGTCTGAGACCTTCAATCTATGCTATAACTCCTTCATCCCAGTCCACCGAATACTTCCATTTTCATATTCAAAATGCCATTCGGTATTTGTTTTTACAAAATGCTATATAGCTGCCTATGGGAAAGTTCAGACTGCAATTTTTTTTTTGTCTCTCATGCAGAGTAAGGTGTAAATTTCTTTACCCAAATCTTTGTCCCAAGTGCCAACATAGTTGAATGAATTGAATCTCTTGACTGGGTTCTTATACTATGCGAACACAGTCGTTGTTGATAGCTTCTAGTGTCCACAACAGGAGCAGTTTGACCTTGAATTTTGATCTGATTGGTTTAATTCTATTAAGTTAGATAGGAAGAAATAAAGACCACATGTTATATTGTGTGCCAGCTGTAAGCATCCGAAGCTATCCAATTGATTGTCGGCTACTAGCCGATACCTTATGAATTGCCTGGCAAGTTTGATGTTTTTGATTTATCTTGGTTGTTGCTTGCTTGATCAGCTACTGAAAATTGTTGCTGCTCTTTCCGGAAAATTAATCGTCTTTGTGACTCATCACCATCCTGACCATGTTGATGGTAAGGTATGCACAGAAATTGAATAAATAAATAAATAAATACTACGCATAGAAATATTACCATTTGTCTCTCTTCACTTACAATGCAGATATCCACTGAATTAGTACTCCATATGAATTAAGTATTGCTAAATCACTTGTTGGATATATTTGTTTTTTCGAACACCTAGGACCTTCTATAATTCTTGTTTATATTGATCATTAAGTTCTCAACATTTAGTATGGATAGTTCAAATAATAGAGCTATATATTCTGTAAGTCACTTATCCATTTTAACTATTATTTCTCCTCTTATAGGTCTCTCCATAATCCAAAAATGCAAGCCTGATGCTAAGTTATTTGCACATGAGAACACAATGCGAAGAATTAAGAGAGGTCGTCTGTAAGAAAAACTTCACATTTCTCCTTTCATATTTCTGCCGCTCTTCTTACGGCAGAGTTCTGAACCGTTCTGTAACTTATGCTCTCTCTCTCTCTTTGCATTTGTGTGACTTGACTGCAGATGACTGGTCCCGTGACTATACTTCAGTTTGTGGAGGAGAAGACATTCTCATTGGTGATCAAAGATTGAAAGTTGTTTTTGCTCCGGTAATTTAGCCATATGTGTGCTTTGATTCAGACTGCAACATGTCTAAGTAGCTTGGAACACCAGAGTTCTCATTGGTTGAGAAAACAAGACTATGCTTTCAGTGTGGTAGACACATTTCATCACCGAGCATGTTTTACTCCAGCTAATGGCGCTTCATAAAAGCTGCATGTCTGTTTCTCAGAAAAATTATTCATAGATTCTGTCCCATAATATGCAAGCTCGGAATTCATAATTGAAATTTTGATCAACATTAGATAGTGTTTAGCTCTTATGTCTTGGTACATTTGTAGGGGCACACAGATGGTCATACGGCACTGCTTCATGTCAATACTCATTCGTTGATTGTAGGTGATCATTGTGTGGGGTAAGGGATTTCACTTGAGACTTCTTTCATTGAAGGAAGTCTTGAGTTTTGGTCAACAAGAAACAGCACTTGGTCCAAATAATATAATCTTATTTAAGCAATTCCAATATGTGGATTGAGAAATAATTCTAGCTTGACTAGTATGCATGGGTGTAGTAAAATTTGATTTCCTCTTTTCTGGGTCTTTCAGTCAAGGAAGTGCTGTTTTGGACATCACATCTGGTGGAAATATGACGGTAAGTTGATTATTCTTGGTCTTAGAGATAATGTTGATATTTCCTCTTCTTTCCTTCATGCCATCTATCAAGTCTTTTTCCCTTTGCTATAGCTCTTGACATGGTAGACTTGTCATTGCCGGAATAAGACATGATAAAGCTCAATTACATTTGTAATATGTTGCTTGATGCTAATGTATGGTCCTAAAGAAAGGGATACCATGATGGAATAGCGTCATCCTGACATAATAGCACACACTTCTGTGACTTTGGAACCTTGTCCTTTTGAAAGTGGCACTTGTAAGCTAACTTCTTAGATATAATGAAGCTTTTTTTTTTTTGGTATATGCAGGACTACTTCCATTCAACTTACAAATTTATTGACCTGTCTCCCAACATTTTGATTCCGATGCATGGGAGAGTCAATTTGTGGCCAAAGAACATGCTCTGTGGTTATCTCAAGTAAGGAAATCGCTTGCCATTATTTCACATGTGGTAGTCTGATCTCATTTTGAGGGCACTCCTTTATATTTGTCGTTGCAGAGGACAATCTTGCTCTTGTCATGGCCAAGAATCAGTTATAACTGAGAGTATATATATCTAAATCCATTAACTGCATGTCAATCCAGCTTCGATTCGTTGTCACTTCAGTGTACTGTATCCTCAGCATCATTTGATCTCTTTTACTCAGGAACCGTCGAAGTAGAGAAGCTTCGATATTGAAAGCTATAGAGATGGGAAGCAAGACACTGATTGACATAGTCGCTAAAGTATACTCTGGAGTAGATCGAGCTTTTTGGATTCCTGCTGCATCAAATGTGAGGCTTCATGTGGCTCATTTGGCTGAGCAAGGCAAGTTGCCTGAGGTAAGCAATTTAGAGATTTTTGCTTTTCAGTTTACATGTACAAGTGGAAACAGACACCAGCACTTTTTTTGTGTTTAATGTTGTCCCGTTTTTTGAGCCGACAATGATTGGGGGCATTGCTAAACAAACTGTAGGGGTTTTCAATGGGAAGGTTTGAAAAGAGCTGCGGGGCACATTTCTTCTCGAGATGGGCATTGATATACCTCACCACTGGTGTTTCATCATTCTACAGAAAGTGCAGCACCCCGCAATTACTTATTGCTGGAGCAGTGGCTGGCTTTGCTCTCACGTGCTCTATAAGGAACAAGTTCATCTCCAAATAGGGAGGGGTGCATACAGGTAACTGTGACAAATTTCATGGAAGTGTAATCTAATCTTCTATGTATGCTGCGAAGTTTTATGAAAAATTACAGTTGCCAGTTATAGGAAGGCAACTGCATTATAGTGTGTTCTTTGATATTTGGAATGGGTCGTTGCTGATGTTTGGATGTGAAAGCTCTGGGATTTTGATGGGTGAGATTCCATGGTGGAGTGTTTGAGTTGTTTCTATATCGGGGATTGAAGGCTATTGTCACAAATTATATACAATAATATACATATAACACGATTTTCAATTCAAGCCATCATCATATTATTTACACATCTTAGTGATAATATACATTTTAAATACTAATCACACGTACAATCGATTTCATGCAACATATTGGTCAATAATCACAAATTGCAAACCGTTAATGAGTTTTGATTGTTATTGTGAGAACAGAAGACAATGCTGGCGAAGTAGTCTTATTAACGTATATGTTTTGAGTCAGTCTTGTAATTGTGTCGAGTTTTTGTCCCATGCCCTTTGAGCTTGCCTTGGGGAAAAAAAAAGTCTTATTAGCCACTGCAAATTAATACATTCCCAATACACTGATACCATGCAGCTTCGAACCCAACGCGCGTTTAAGGTTTTATCAAATGAGCTTCAGCCGATGGTGTATACACCCGACCTTAAGAATAGAGTTTGAATGGTTAGTATGTATTAATACGAGGTCACATGCATTACTCTAAACTCTAAATTTCAAATTCTGAATTCTAATATTAAACCTCTAAACCCCTAAATTTCAAATTCTGAACTCTAATTCTAAACCTCTAATTGAAGTAGTAAATTTCAAATGATTTCCTTAGAAATTCATGTTTTATTTTTCATCATATGACAATAAATAGGGATGGCAATTACCCACCCATGAGTAATTATACCCAAATTCAAATAGACTCATTCATAATGGGTTGGGTATGGGTGAAGTGGGATGAATTCCAAAAATATACATGTTTTTAAAAAAAATTCCCAAAATACACACGTTATAAAAAAAATTCCCAAAATACGCATGTTTGGGCATCACCGCTGTTGTCAACCGCAGTGAATGCATTCACCGCGGCAGACCAAAGCGGTGAATGCATCACCGCGGCAGACCAACCGCAGTGAATGCCCGACTTAACTCTGAAACTTCAAACAAACGTAACTTTGCGCTCGGTTATCCGATTGTAGTGAAATTTTTTTTGATTCCATATAACTTTTCAAGATCTTTCAATCTGCAACAAGACTTCATCTAAAAAAAATGTTGTTTGTTACCCCGAACGAGCAATTTTTCGATTTTTCCAAACTTTGGAAGGACATAACTTTTAGCTCCTCAATCCGAACGTCATAAAGTTTTTTTTTGATTTTGCATAACTTTTTAAGAACTACAACTTTGACTAGGAAATAATTTTTTAAAAAAGAAGTATTTTTGGGTGTACGGGATTTTGGGAATAACTTTGCCTTTACTTTTCAACAATCCACATACTTTCCAAAATTATGGTTATAATAAAAGTTGTAGTAATTCAAAAGTTATGCAAAATCAAAAAAAGTTTCATGACATTCGGATTGTGGAGCACAAAGTTATGATCTTCCAAAGTTTGTTAAAATCGAAAAATTGCTCGTTCGGGGTAGCAAATGATTTTTTTTGGGGATGAAGTCTTGTTTCTGATTGAAATATCTTGAAAAGTTATATGGAATCAAAAAAAAATTCGCTACAATCGGATAACCGAGCGCAAAGTTACGTTTGTTTGAAGTTTCAGTGTTACGTCAGGCATTCACCGCGGCCGTCAACCGCGGTGATGCATTCACCGCTTTGGTCTGCCGCGGTGAATGCATTCACTGCGGTTGACAACAGCGGTGATGCCCAAACATGTGTATTTTGGGAAATTTTTTTATAACGCGTGTATTTTGGAATTTTTTTTAAAACTGTATTTTGGGATTTTTTCCGGGTGAAGTGCATATGAATTTGGGGGTTTGTAGTTGTAGATGGGTTTGGGTAATGTATGAATATTGCTTCCATAATCTAAATGAATATGGGTTGGATATGAATATCCATTTACTTAGAGTGTTTTAACTACACCTACAAAAAGTAGGCCTATTTGTAAAACTTGAAAAGTTTAGGTACCAAAATGTAAGACCAAAAAATTTTAGTTACTAAAATGTAATTTTCCATTAATATTTTGAGAACTTATATGCAAAAAAATTAATTTTAGGTACCAAATTTGCATATCTATTTAGTTTAGATACCAAATTGTAATTTGCATTTGGGCATGGGTACAAACCCAAACCCATTTGTTAAAAACCCAACCTAACCCAAGTAAATGGGTATGGGTACAAACCCATCAAACTCTACTCATATCCATCTATTTGGATTTCATATCCAACCAAATTGGGTTGGATAGTAAAATACTCATGGGTATGAGTAAAATTGCATCCCTAACAACAAATGACGATTGACATGGCGTTTCGACATGAAACCATCAGAAGATTATAAAGCGCGCGTGGAAAAAAAAAAACGAGTGCATATGTGGAAGTTAAAATATATGCTTACCAACCATGCATTCGATTCGATTCGATTGAGTAGACGTACTACTGCATTGTGCACATCGACTCAAGAGGATCATCCATAAAAAACGACGGCCCTTCTCCGTAGCGTATGCATTCCTCATCCGGCCATCTGATGTTTACATTGAGCAGTTCCGCCCCAAGAGCAGAGAGGTCACGAGGTGCCAAGTTTTTGCATCCTCGAATATCCAGCTCCTTGAGTCGCTTGAAACCAGCCGCATGCAATATCAACCTCTCAAGCGACGTGCACAAAACGAGTTGTAACTGCTCCAGGGAGTTCAACTCGGAAAGGCCTTGAATCTCACGCAATCCCGACATATTCACAATGATAAGGGTGATCAAATCTTTCAACTTTGAAAGGGAAGGCAGTCTGTATATCGATGGCAAGTCCAGCAGCAACAACCTTTCAAGCCCCTTTAGGCTGCCGATTTCCTCCAGCCGCGATTCCAAACCCTATGCATGCATGCAGTCGAAAATACGATTAGACGTTTAATAACATTTTAATGAACTAGAAACGTAAAAACGTAAGCTTTTAAATTTTAATTAGCGTGATTTCGACTAAATTTTAGTAAGGGGAAAACACGATTCTATGTAGAAACTTTTTAGTGACCCAGAAGCATAAAAACATAAGCTTTTAGACTTTAAAGCGTGATTTTAACTACCTACCTGTTATAAACGCGCTGCTACGGATCGGGAAATCGCTGGAATCGACAAAGCAAGAATACGAAAGCGAGAATCGAAAACACGACACACGATTTACGTGGTTCACTAATAGGATGTGTGTTAGCTACGTCCACGGGCGAGAGAGAGCCAGTTTCACTATATCAAGGAGATTACAGATTACAGAGGAGTATGAGAAGTATTTATAGTACTTCTCCATGTGGGTCTAAACCTAATCCAATATGGCAAAGGAAACGGTTACAGACCAGGCCCAGAACCCGAACCCAAATAACATTGAGCCCATACACCGTGGGCCGGGGGCGTTGCCCCTGGACCCCACTCGCTGACCGGTCAACGAGACCCCCAATTATCAGTCGTAGCGGCTAATAGTCCAATTCAAGTCATATCAACACTACCTGCTGATCAGCATTGTCGTTGGTAGTTATATCCCCGATCTCTAGAATCTCAAGCCTTGGGAAGTTGGAGATAGGAGGTATCATCACGTAACCACACTTACGAACGCACAACTCCTTTACAGAGGAGTCATTCTTTAGGCCACCGTATTTCGGATTGTCGCTAGTTAGCGACGTTGGAAGTTTCGTCGTGCTCGTTTTAGCGACGACTATCTTGGTCCTTGTAAGCGAAACAACCTCCAATTTGGATTCCTCCCACCACGCATTATTCTGGTCGGCGGGAGGGATTTGCAGCCCGTAATCACAATCCTCGACCGTTATTTCCTGCAACTCCAACAACTCCGAGAGATTAACAAACTTAGAAGATGTGTGCAACGCCTTGAGGGTCGTGGGAACCCTAGCTAACGACAGCTCTTCCTCGTCGTTCCTTTTTCTTAGGGACGACGAATCGTCGGGATCCTGGTTGGCTCTGATTGTTTTCAAGATCGTTAGAGATGATAGTTGATCTATATCGACGAGTACTTCCGTCAGATTTTCACACTTGATTTCAGTGAGATCGAGCTCTTGGAGCTTCTTCATCAGTCCAATGGTGCCGCCCATTATCCTTTTTAATTTGCTCTTGCTGAGATCCAACACCTGTAGGTTCTATAAATTTTTAATGTCCAGCTCCATAGACAGAGTAATTGAACCCAACGATCCGCCAACTACATTGGAAAGATGTAGCAACTCTAGACAGCCGGATTGTGGGAAATCAGGGAGTTTGGTTAGGCCAGAACAACCGGAGAGATCCACAACTTTCAACTTGTTTGCCATCTGCGCGTGCAAAATACATAATGAACAACAATAACCATGACAAACCACAAAGTTTTCTAACATATGAAACTGGTGTTACAAATATATATAGGTGGTTCAATTGCATCTTGTATAATATCTAATGTATGACATACCTTGAGTAAGAAAATGATATCTAAACCTTAAATTGATCGGAATTTGGCATCTGGTACTATTCTCAAATACTTAAAGATTAAAATTAAGGTGTTAATTCTATAAATCTCATACATTAAGATCAATTTAACTAGAAACAAAAATCAACGGTTATGATTCGTCGAAATATACGCAATAAATTACATGCACAATCTCAGGGGTTAGGATCTATGATTTAGAAACTAAGACCTAGGGTTCACTTATCAAGGGTTAGGGTATAGTACCATTCCCAAAAATCTGATTAATTAGAGGTCTAGATAGCAATTTCTTACTCAGGGTATCTCATACCTTAGATTTTATACAAGATACGATAGTATTCACCATATATATATATAGTATATGTACCTTGATTTGACTCCAACATCCCAAGTCGCCTTCTACAAATATGGAGTCTTGAAGATCAAGAATAACCATATTGGCCATCCTGAAATTGTTGAATTGATCACTACTATCACAGACACATGACTGCAACCGGAGCCATCTTAAATTTGAGACAAGGTTATTGAAGTCTCCCGCAAAGTCTAGACGCTCCGCTTCCAAATATCTTAACTCGGGCAAATTAAGGAAATGTTCGGCTTCAAGGGGTTTCTGAGGTTCCAATGAGAAGTCTGCGTAGAGTGCCTTAACTTGCTTTGATCCCTGAATTACAAATACAAAAAATTTGATTACTTGTCAATTACACCTACAAAAATTTATCAATGGTTGATGATGGTGGTTTTCGATTTTATGTGACTCAACAATTCACACTATTGTATAGCTCAAGGAAAAAAAAAGGGATCGTTGAAGTGCATATCATATGTAATGGATCATGTATAGACTATAGGAAATGAAATGACTACAAATACGATATTATCATCATATAAATATGAAAAGGGGCTAAAATTCAACCAGTCAATATTTTTTTTGGAAATACCTTCTTGTTGCGTAATAGATCCACACTTTCTTCAGTGTCCCATATCCTACTTCTCATCCAGGGTTCTTCGATATTTTCCTCGTGCACAATTGCTCTCCCCATATCTCTAAGTTGATCATGTATTTGAAATTGATTGTCATCCCCGATTTTGATCATAGATCTCTGAACAAGGACATTGATATTAGTTATTGGAAAGAGCTTTAGATCACTCCACATGTAAGTAGGTTTTTCCTTATTCATATTGACGTAGAAGCAAGCAATATCCAGAAAAATCTGTTGCGCCTCATATTCCAATGCATTGTAGCTTATCTTTAACCTTTCTGAGACCCCTCTCACGGAAACCTTTCGTAGTTGTTCCAATCTATCTTCCCATATTTCTTTTGCTTGTCCATACAGAAGTCTGCCCACAACCTCAAGAAATAATGGAAGTCCTCCTGCAATTGATACAATATCTTGTGATAAAGTTTCATATTCTTGTGACGGACAATTCTTTTTGAAGGCATGCTTGCAAAAGAGTTCAAGTGAGAATTGTGCATTCATTTCGCCAACTTCATACAGTTTGCATCGACTTTTGTTGAAAGTACACAGGACATTCACATCTCTAGAAGTGATGATGAATCTACTTCCAGAAGCAAAGTCTCCAAGATTTCCAATAATGTCTTCGAATATGAACTTTTCATCCACATCATCAAGAACGATAAGAACTTTAAACAGTGAGACTCTATCTTTTATCAACTTCTTCCCCTCGACAACTTCATTAATAGATCCGACAGTATCCATTCTCAGGACAATATTAGAGATTAGCTTATTTTGTAAACTGATGGTACCATTTTTTTGCTCCTGTGTTTCTCGTATGTTCTCCAAGAAACTACATCTATCAAACTGAGAAGAGATTTGGTTGTAAACCGCTCTTGCAATAGTGGTTTTGCCTATACCACCAAAACCATGGAGGCCAACCATTTGTCACACCCTCATTGTCTAAGCTCAATGTATTGGTTATCACTCTTATATGTTCATCAATACCAATTGATAGACCGATAATTATACATGTTTTCACCCTTATTCTGAAGCCGTTTGTGATGAGGAATCTCGTGTTTTAAGCCCATTTCACGCTAGGTTGTGTGTTTATGTCATATTTCAGGTCCTAGCGTTGGAATCGAGGCGAAGGAACAAGTTTCGGGTCGAAAGGAGCGAAGATTGGACAAAGGATGCTGCTGGACCAAAATACCCGGTCAAAGGAAGAAATACCCGACCGGGTATATTCTGGCCTCGACCGGGTATTTCCTCCTTCGGGCACCCGTGAGAAACAGAAGGGGGCCCGGGCGATGGCGTTAAATCCCCGGTCGGGGATTTTGATGTTGGACCGGGGATTTTTCCCCTTATTGGAACGGTGCGTTTTAACAATACCCGGTCGAACCATAAAATACCCGACCGGGTATTTCGACCGGGTATCGCGGGGTCAGCTGATAAAAGAGGAAGAAGGCCAATTTTCAAAGGGGTTCCGAGTTTTTGAGAGAGAAATAGATTCCTAGAGAGAGAAAGCGACGAACCAGAGTTCCCAAGCGCCATAGATCGATCTTCAACACCATTGGAGCCCGGTTTGAGCTTGGAGAAGTGCGATTAAACGTCCAGGAGCAGGAATCCAACTTCACAGTATGATTTCCGCGTCTGAATCTGCTTTTGCTTCTTTCTCTATGGAGTAGTTTCCCCATTCATCTGGGTATGGGGAACCCTAGATTTGTATGCTAGGTCTGATTGTATGAACCCAAGTACAGAGTTTGTGAATTGATTATATTCGATTGAGGTTTGAATGATTGAATGACTTGAATCCTGATCAAATTCCTGTTGTTTCTGCTTTGACCTGGAATGAGAATATCTGCCTAGGTTGATAGAGTACCCTTAATCGAAGGTGGCGAATTGGTGACTTTAGTCGAGGAGCCAATTCGCTATTCTGTACCGAAGTTAATTCGGTAGTGGAGGTTTGGTTCATTAGGGCCTCAATCTGTTTACTCTGGTGGAGGTTAGTCGCCCGCTAGAGACTCAGATTGAGAGGGTCTGGAGACCTTTAGTCGAGACTTCAGGCTAATTGAGAACCTTCCGCAGTATAACTTTCATGAAAACTGAACTTGGTAATTACAATCCGACTTAACTGCAGTCTAGGGGGATCCATATCTGGGTGACCTCTCTTGACTTGACAACAAACCGTTTACTTGCTTTGTGTTTTGTTTGCTTGAGTTGCACTAAAAGTTCACCGCTAAATAACAAGAATTCACCGAGTAGTCATCACATCTAGGACCCGAGTTGATAATAAAACCCAAACCCGCTATACTACGCTTTAGGAAGTGGTTGCACTTGGCCATTTTCTAGAGTGACAGTAGGAGTGAGTCACCAACCAACCCATCTCTATCCCAAAATTTGTCATTGTTTCTTATATGCAACCATATATCATTGCAAACATTATCTGCAATTTCTCCCGGCCTGTAAAATGAAATTATGTGCTTCATGACTACAAGAATAAATAATAAAGGATAAATACCAGAATATGAATAAACAATTTGAATTATTTAAATTATTTGCAATAAGTAGTGATAGGGTGGAATGACATACTTGTCTTTGCTTCCAACACGCCATCCTTTTATAGTCCCAACCAAATTCAAAGTATCTCTCCATGCTTGTACAGTTTTGGCACTGAACATTTGCTCGTGCCGCTGAAATGCACTTTGGTAATGCCCCGTTTGGTGTCGCACATCTCTCGGGTCCACCATATAGAATATGGGAATTAAGATGTGCCCTTTATCTTGCTTTCGACATTCAACGAATTCAGCGAGCTCTCTAAGACACCATTTGCTCTCGGCATAGTTCTCCGACAATATCGCTACATGAACTTTGGACTGTCTTATACCGGCAACGAGACTCGGCCATATTTCTTCACCCTTCTCAAGTTTCTCGTCGTCCATGAATGTACGAACGTTCAAATGTTTAAGCAGAATGAAAAGGGTGTTGGTGAACACCTGACGAGTGTCTGGACCTCTGAAACTCAAGAACACCTCGTGCTCCCCCCTCGGAAGGGACAATACCGAATCAGAAGCAGAGGCAATACCATGATCATTTGATTGTTGTGGGATTGGGGCATCTTTTGAATGATCTCCAGAGTGAGAAATACTAGGAAGAGCAGAAGCTGGGGAGGGAATAATATTATTAGTACGAGAGGAGGCGTTGAGAATAGTCGGGGTCCTTCCAAACAACAACTTGAATAGGAGGAGAATCGGTTGAAGCAGCAACACGACAACTGTCAAGGCTCCTTTCGTGTAATTAGTTTCTGCAATCAATAGGTCACCAAAATGGATATTACATAATGCAAAATCACAGAGCCCGTATTAAGGACAGCAGGTCAAGCCACTAACATGATTGGTTACGGATCACAAATAATTTTTTCTGAATTAAATTTAATGGATTATATCTCTTTCGTTTAAAGTCGGGATTCAAATTCTTTGTATACGAAAAATCAGAGTAACCCTCTTCTTCAGTCTTCACAATGACATTCACTTTGATATATTTTAGGAACATAACAAATTGAGGCATATATTACCAGTCTATATAGTGATAATTCTTGATAGTACATAAAATTATTATGTATGGACAGTATGGTATGGAAGTGTACTATGATGGTATAAGTATAAAGTATGTCATATTATCTAATGATAGCAGGAATATACTAATCACCTTTCACCACCGTCTATCATCACTTACCACCCTATATCAGGGTGTATTTGGTTATGGATTTTTTTCAAAGATTTGTAGATCAGAACAAGTCACAATGAACTTGTTTCTTCTGCAATTTTTCCAAAATTGGAGTAAAAAACGAAGTGGCAATTAGGATACCAGGGTGAAAACGAGTGATTATGGGTGGTACATAGTTTTTGTGTCAAAATATATACAAAAATGAATATAATTTCGTCGATCATAATGAACGTGTTTCATCTGTACAGAAAATTTACTTTTGAGTTTAAAAAAATACAGATCGATTATGAAAAGTAGAGAAAATAAAAAGAATTTGGTCTCATCTCTTAGATTTGACTCCACCAAAACTTAAAGGACGAGATCTTGTCTTGTTATTATCTCCCTATGGATAATATCTACTCAAAATGTTCATTTGCATGCATGCACTCCATTAGGGTGTGTAGAAAGGCCATTCAACACAGTGTCTCCAGTACTCTAGGTCTGTTGGTTAATCCAATCCTATATCATAGGTTAAACTTGTGATGTATGATTAATTTATTATTGTTATGATGATGAGTTTAAGTATGTTAACCGTTACGAGACATGTATATTGATTCTTAAAGTCAATTTTGTGTTATAAAAGTTCTACATATGTTCTATAATGACACAATAAAATCTTAATGGATTAGCTCTGACTATGATTGAAAATAATCTCCTTAAAAATATGAAAACTGAAGAGCATATAGATAATTTTATTTTGAACAATGCTAGAAATATTACTTTGTAAATAACGATGTTATGGTTATTATTTTATTATAGATTACTCATTTTAGACTATCTCTCGATTCTGAAAAAAGGTCTCCATGATTCATTGGATGACCATGTGCATGCATATTAAAAAGTTTCAGTCTTTATTAAGTTGTTAGAAAAGTGTAATTAGAAGAGCTATAAGTGAACGAAACAAAATGAAAATCGATCTACGCATCTAAATCAAACTGACCCACTAGTAATATAAAAGTTTCCAATTTTATGGGTGTGTGGGTTTCAACTTTTGAAAATTGAAGCCTTATGGTTGGGTGCAAGTTTGGATGGTTACAACTTACAAACCAAAAATATCCAAACTGACAGTATTTGTTTACATAGTTAGAGTCACTACAACAAAACTGGCCTATAGCGGCTAATAATTGAGGCATAAGTTGTAATTGCCTCTGAAAATACCTTTTAAACAACATATATTGAATTTGCCTCTACAAGTATTATTATTTGCCTCTAAAAATTATCTATATACAACAAATATAAAATTTGCCTCTATAGCTATTGAAAACTGCCTCCATACTATTATCTCCACACGCTCATTTTTTTCTTTTGGCATGGGACGCGGGATTTCAAATTTCCTTTTTTATAGTGGTGATGAAGAGTCCTTTTCTTAGTCCAATGAAGAGTCATTTTTAAGTGGTGATGAAGAGTCATTTTATCCACCGTAAAAAAAAAAAAAAAGAGAAGATAGATCTAGAAAGTCAAAACTCTCCTCTTCCCTCTCCCCTCTCACCACCACTTTCCCTTCCTAGCTCTCCGCTAAATCCTTGTCTCTTCTTTTTTGTGCGATCATCCTGTCGCCACCTTCGTCGCAAATCTCGGAGCAAAGATGGTAAGATTGAAGCTGGGGCTTGCTTGTTACTTGTCGATTTAGGGTTAAAATTGTAGATTGGGGTGATGCTAAAGTTTAAAGCTAAAATTGGGGATTTTTCAATTTGGGTTTCAATTTGTTCATCCTAGAGGTTTATTTTGGCGGTGGTGATAGAAGCAGGAGCTTGAGGAGTGAACAGACGACGACAAGCAAGGGAGGTGGGGTTTGTGCAGGGAGGACTGAAACAGAGAAGAGTGTCACCTAGTGTGAGAAGACAGCGACGGCGAAGGAAGAGGAAAGCGCATGCGACGATGGCAGGGAGAAGAGTTCGCCGATTTGACGAAGAAGAAGAAGGCGATTGGCGTGCAAGATCTACAACTGCTTATACCTGTCGATAGAGGAGATCCCAAAGGGGCAGAGGGACGGAGACGGGAATGGTCAAAGATTGGTGATGAACTCGCCGGTTCTCAAGGCGGTGGAGGCAACAAGTTGCTGTTGTTGGCTTAATGATTCTGTACTGTAATTGTATTTTATAATTAACTATAAAGTATTGTAATGTATCTCGTTCTCGGTATAAATAACATACATATTTTATTGGTTTCATTTACATTATTAATTTCAAAATTTTAGTATAGTATATTTAAAAATATGAAAAAAGATCTAAAGAATATATGAAAAACGAAACCAAAAATAAAGCCAATTTTAATATGCTTTTTAGAGGCAAATATTTGTGCCTTTAAATCTAAATATGAGGTGTAAAAGAAAGTGGTTCTAGCGGCTAATACATGAGTCGTAGTATCACTAATCAGCAACAAATAATATATGCCGCTATATCTGCCTCTATAGAGCTATAGCCACTAGAGTATTTGAGGCAAATATTTTATCTGCCTCTAAAGATGTATAGAGACAAATAAATGACATCTAGAGGCAAATTTCCTCTGTTGCTATAGATAGGTTTTCTTGTAGTGAGTTGATCAATTGTGACATCAATTATTTATCAAAGTGTTTCCTTAGCAAATATATACTTATCTTAGCATCTTCCCCATGTATTAATAAGTGAAATATTTTAAATATTGTATTTTTTTAGTATGAATGCAACATATTACTATAATATCTTACTTGTTAAATTTCATGTACGATCATATATGTATTATTCGTCGTATAATATTATTTAAAGACAAGTTTTGTTCTCATATTTTGTATTAGATTCTCATCCAATCTAACTCAAACCAAGACTCAAGAATCTTGTAGGATCTTAAAATTAATAGATGAGTTTGGCTTTACAAAAATTCAACTCGAGACTCATTCATCAGATGGTTAAAAACAGTCAAAACCAAATCCAACTGACCCACTTAACACCCATGAGCAAATAGATCTACTATGTAGTATGAGTGATTGACAAACCTGAACCATCGTTGTTGATTAAGGAGTTTGGACCATCGTTGAACTGAGGCAAGGACAAATTCCTGAGAGCATTGGTAATATGCTGAGTGACAGCAGAATCAAACAACAACAACGACGAGGAAGAAGAGTCATTATTAGGGGTTGCAGCAGTGTTGATGATGCGGTGACATGTCTTGGCAGAGTGACCTGGTTCGTCACAATACTGACAAACAACAAGAATTGCGTCTTCCTTTCGCTGCATCAATTTCTCAAATTCGACAAGCTCGTCGAACAATTCTTCAAACGAAATCGGAGCATCTCTGGCACGAATAGCCGCTACAATCTCCTTGAACTCCGAACCAACGCCATTGAGGGCATGGAGAACGAGGTCAGGGTCGTCAACAAGGTGGCCAATGAGAGCGAGATCATTGGCGACCCGCTTCAACGAAGTTAGGTAAACGAAGACCGACTGGTTCTTGTCATGGTCGTGCTTGAGTGCTGACAGCTTGTCCATGAGTTCCATGCGATGAGATCTCGACCTGTGTAAGAGGTAAAAATAATTGGCACCAAATGGTTAGTTCGCTAACAAGGTATGAGAGCCTAGAATCGAAAGGCCATGGTTTCGTATCCTAATGACGACCCCCAATTTAGACAATGGTTTAGTACAAGGAATGGTATGTCCAACCTGTACAAACTGAAAGCCTAATAGTTTGGCAACACAAGGAATGATACGTTCAATCTAAGCAAACCGTATAAGAAAAAAACCCCGAATAAATGTAGGCTTTCGTTTGAGGAGGCGTGTGAGAGATTTAAAAAAAAACAGAAGTTAACAAACCCTTTTGCCAACAACTCAAATTGTCGAGACCAAGTGGTTATAAGTCGGCTAACAACCTGCTAGCAAAGAAACGCTCCAAGCTCAGCCAAGCATCGCGAGCAGAGGGAGACGACTCGATCAATGGGACGATGGTTTCTTCATTGACGGAGGCCATGATCGCGTGAAAGAGCCGTTGATCTTGCTGTATCCAATGTCGATGAGCAAGATGGGCGGCCAAGGGAGGACGAGTGATGGTACAGTCGATGAATCCTTGCAATCCATAACCCACCAGAAGGCTGTGGAATTGTCGCCGCCAGGATGAGTAATTGGCTCCGGTGAACTTGATGGGTAGTTGTGATTATAGGTGTCAAAATATAGCCCGATCCGATTAACCCGGATCAACCCGACCCGCAACTCGACCGCAATTCGAATTGACTAAAAGTCAACAACCCGTAACCCGTCCGACCCGCAACCCGATTGACCCGCAACCCGACTAACCCGCAACCCGACTGACCTGCAACCCGACTGACCCGCAACCCGATTAACTCGAACCCGATTGACTCGCAACCCGACTGACCCGCAACCCGATTAACCTGAACCCAATTGACCCGGATCCGACTAACCCGTAACCCGACCGACTCAACCCGAACTTCATCTAATCCACTTGAATAATTATTATAATATACAATACATAGTTTTTCAAAATAAATTTT